AAGAGTTTAGTTATTAAATAAAATTCTTGATTCATGTCTTATTTATAATAATTTCAACTACATAAGCTTCTTTGTCTGCATTCTTGTACTTTTGTTTTAATAACCTTTGTATCTATTAAAAAGAAAGAATTCTTTATTTCCCTGTCACTTAATAAAAATGAACAATTCTTTATCCACCTCTTACAAAATAATTTTGTCATACTAATAAATTTAATTCTTTACCTTTTACTAGTAATAAATTTAATTCTTTATATCCTTTATTATTATTTAATAAGTATAAAATTTAATTCTTTATCATCTCTTACAAAAAATCAATTCTTTAAAGAAAAACTATTTTAATTTAATAACGTCGCACAATTTTTATTGGACAACGATCACGTGAAAGTCACGGAAGTGAACTTAGAGAGGGAGTTTTATATAGATGGAAATGAAAAAAGACCGTGCAGTGCAGGGGGAAGGGGGTGTGTGCTTATCTCTAATTCCCGAGCTTGTGAATGAATGACTGTATTTGAAAAATATATCTGTTGTGGTAAAGTTTGAGTCTCAATCTATGCAACAACAGAGTTATTTTTTAAAAAGGATCGACAGAGATGGACTTCTATTCTTTCAAAAATTATGTGCAAAAAATGGTGGTTATAGACTTCGCGCACCATATAAAGAATTTTTAGTACTGTTGTATGTGAAATTTTGGGGTGGGGTGTTTTGATATGAAATTCTGATTGGTTAATTTGAATTTCACGTGACTTGCAAATTCACATGGATTTCATTCCCACGCACAACAGTATCAAGGATTAAATCGGAACTGATCAGAAATTTTATGTAATAATAATAATAATGGTGGTGGTGGTAACGGTGGCGGTAATAGCAAATATAAGCAATAGTAGTAATAAAAGTAATAAAAAGGAAAATATAAAATTTCAAATCTTTTTTTATTATATGATATAAAATCAGAGAATGTGTGAATGAGAGAAATTCAAAATTTGTCAAAAAAATTATTATATAATTAAAAAGTATACATTTAATAAAATTAAAAGTTGATGAATCTATGAATAACATATGCATTTGATATTTAATATATATATATAGATAGATAAATATGTGAATCGGTTATTTTATATGAGCCTTTCCTTCAAGTCTTGAGTATTTTGCCATGACTTTACCACAATTTGGACACGAATGAACACAGTCTTTTAAATCATTAATCTATAAAAAATTTTAATAATAATAATAAAATCATTTATTAATTCAAATGAGAAAAGTAAAAATATATAAAATGCAAATAATAATAATAATAATAATAATATAAACTTACACAAAATGGGAATAAACAACAACAACATGAAGTAAGTCCAACTAAAAATAAGCCCAAAGAACTTAACAAAGTAGCTGAACCTGACTTGAACTTGGTACGACTTAACACAATTGCTTTACAATGCGGACAAGTTGTAATCGTAGGTTTGGTTTTTAATGCTTTTAGAGGAACGGGTGACGATAAAAAAACTGTATTTGCTGAATACGTAGGATTAGCTTGATTTAATAAAGGTGTGGATGGTAGTGGTGGTGGTGGTGGTGTGTGGTTATAAAGCACCTCAGGATAAGGTTTTATATCTTCTTCAACTGTAACTCCACGAGAATCATTTACATTTGATGAATATGGTGGAGGCAGATCATAGGGAATATTATCGTTATTATTGTTATGATTATTGGAAGAAGATTCTGCTGATAATTTGTCTTTTTTAATATTTGTATTTTTTGACATTTTTAAAAATAAAAATAAAATTATTAAAAATTATTAAAAATTATTAAAAATTATTAAATTGTTCTAGAAATATTTTTTTTAGTTTTTTTTCCACTCTTTATATATAATAATGACTGGTAGTACAAAACGCCATCGATTTTTTCCACCGAGAGAAGGCCAAGAGATCTTGGCTTTTTTTGGGTTACGAAGGAAGGATCTTTAAACTCCGGATTTTCGAGAAATCAGCCGACTTATCAACAGTGGCGTGTGACCAATGCAGATTTCTACAAATTTAGAAACCATATCCGGGAAATTACATTGAATTTTATACCGCAAGGTGTACCACGTTATACAAACCGTTGATTCTCATATTAATAATAATATGTTTTCAAAATCTCGATTTCATTTTATTTATTTTGTGTATTAATTAAGGATAGGGCCAGTGTAACGTACAAAAATATAATTTCTTTGAATTGTTCAGATTTTTTTAAAATATAATATAATGCCATACATATTATTATTTACAGGTTAATCGGATCCGGTTTTGGTTGAAACCCATAATTGGTAAAAAAAGACTATAATTAGTTGACTGACTTTACTACAAAGCGATAGTAATGACATCCAAAAGAAGTTAAATTTTATAAAAAATAAAATGAACTTCCCATGGTCTAACTTATACGTGAGTCATGTGAACAACATTTGACCAATCATATGTCATCAAAAATGGCACCCATTCCTTAAATAAATATTTCGTGCACATGATAATGATAATTATTTCCTTTTTTGGATCACGCAGTCGAAGTTCAATAATAATTTTTTTTTTTAATTTAATTGAATGTGGACAAAAATTATAATCCTTATTTCGAAGAATATAATCGTATCAATAGCTCATTTTGGGGTTCTTTAACCATAACTACCTTTTGGTTAGCATAGAGCCCACATTGTATTTCTTTGTATCTATTGGTTCATGTAAATATTCTTTTTTTCCTTCACCAAATTCTCCTACAATATGTCCATTACCACACAATTTATACTTGTATATTACCAAACCTTCAAGTCCAACTGGTCCACGTGCATGCGTCTTGTTTGTGCTTACCTGAACATTTTGTATAAATAATAAAGAAAATAAATTTGTTATAATGGCAATAATGGAAAAAAAATTTTCATTCCAACAAAAAAAAATAATAATTGATATGTTACTCCAACTTCTGCGCCAAACCCGTATCTAAATCCATCGGCAAACCTTGTACTGGCATTCCAATAAACACCAGCCGAATCAACACCTTGCATGAATTTTTTTGCTGCCGTCTCATTTTCTGTGACTATTGAATCAGTATGTTTGCTACCATGTATATTGATATGTTGGATTGCTTCTTCCAATCCATTTACAACTTTAACGGCAATTTCAAGATTCAAAAATTCAGTGTCAAAATCCTCTGGTACACTCACTTCTATCAATGAGTTGTTGTTGATGTGTGAGACATATGGTAATAGTTCATGATCAAGATGTAATTTAACATTAGCTTCCAATAACGCATTTATTATAGGTTGAAGATGCGTAGAAAGAATTCCACGGTGTATCAAAAGAGTTTCGGCTGCATTACAAGCTGCAGGATAATTTATCTATGATATTTTTTGGAGAATTAATAACAAATTTGTTAATAAATGCATAACAGTTGAATTAATCATTAACATTATTTGAAAAAAAAATAATATGATTTTATATAATACTTTGGAATCAATGACAACACGTATTGCTTTCTTAAGGTCTGAATCTTTATCAACATACACAGTGCATAATCCATCAGCATGTCCTAAAACAGGAATCCTATTAAATTATATATTTTATTATAATATTGAAAACAAATAAATTTTATGAACACTTATTCATCAATGTTTTTATAAATACCTTGTATTCTCTTGTATATATCTCACTAAACTGTTACTTCCACGTGGAATCACCAAATCGATATATCTATCTAAATCTAATAGTGCTTTAATTTCTTCTCGCGTTTCAACGAGTTGAATGACACTTTGTGGAATTGCTGTTTCTGATAAAGCCAATTTAATTGATGAATACAGCGCATTTAATGTAGCAATTGATTCTTTTCCTCCTTTTAATATCACAGCATTGCCTTTAAAAAATTTTTTGGTTTTTAATATTTAACAAAAACGATATAAATATTTAATTAATCAAAATTTTATTTGTACCTGATTTTATTGATAATGCTGAAATATTAACAATAACTTCGGGTCTTGCTTCAAATATCACCAATAAAACTCCAACAGGACAAGTTACTCGATACAATTCTAATCCTTCGTCAAGTTTACTGGAATATGTGATTTGTCCGGTTGGATCAGGCAATTTATCAATATCAGATACTCCTTGTAACATAGTAATAAACTTATCTCCACTTGTTATATCTAAACGTTTAACTAATGACTGTGGAAGTGCACCAGTCTTTACAAGCTCTGCTGCATTCTAAAAGTCATATATAATTAATAATTAATTTTTAACCTTTAGTTAATCAGTCAAGAGTAACTATCTCAAGTTCTATTTTCCAACCGCAAAACAAATAATAAATTACTAGTTTGTCATGTTCATTAGATTCGAAAATTTCTTGTTTATGTTCAAATATTTTTTCTTTAATTTTATTTAGCGCAATACTCTTTTCTTCAATTGAGACATATTGAAGTTTAGTTGCTGCTTCTCGAGCTTTTTTTGCAAATTCAATTGTAGTTTCATTATTCATTTTTTAAAAAAAATAAAATTATTTAATTCATCTTTTAGAGAAAATTGATTAAATTTGCGTGTAACGATTTAAAATCAAAAAAAAAAAAAATTTTTTTCAAAGAATTTATTTAATATTGTTTTCTAACAATGTAAGATTAACTTTTTTTTAAAAACCAACTCAAAAATGATTTTATTTTTAAAGATTGCTTTATTCTCATATACAAATTAAGGGTGAATTTAAGAAGTCAAAAAAAGTTGGCGGCTAGTGTACTTGGGTGTGGCAAAAGAAAAGTATGGTTGGATCCCAATGAGGTTGGAGAGATTTCTAACGCTAATTCTCGTAAGAATTTTTAATCTATATTGATAAAATTTTTTTTAAAGATGATTCATTAATCAATCAATCCAATTGATTAATTAATTATTCATCAATCAATTAACCAATCCAATTAATTATTTGACAATTATAGGTCAAAATATTCGTAAACTTGTAAAAGATGGTTTTATTATCAGAAAACCACAAATAATTCATTCTCGATTCAGAGTTAGAGAAAAATTAGAAGCTAAACGTAAAGGTCGTCATACCGGACCTGGTAAAAGAAAAGGTACATCAAATGCTCGTATGCCAACCGAAGTATTATGGATGAGAAGGCAAAGAGTGTTGAGAAGATTGTTAAGAAAATATAGGGAAGCTAAGAAAATTGATAAACATTTGTAAGTGAATATGATCTTTATAACTATTTTATTATTATGTGAAATTTATCAATTACATACTTTTTACCAATTATTTATATTAATTGATTAATTGTTAGATACCATCAATTGTACATGAAATCAAAGGGTAATGTATTCAAAAATAAACGTGTATTGATGGAATATATTCATAAAGCTAAAGCTGAGAAAGCTCGTACCAAATCATTAGCGTATGTTATCGTTATCATTACTGATATCATCAATGATTGTTTATTGTTATTAATGTTGGTAGAAGTTAATATTTTATCTCCTTCAATAATTATTCATTTAGTGATCAAGCTGAAGCTCATCGTCAAAAAGCCAAAGCTGCTAGAGAACGTCGTGTTATACGCCAAGCCAAAAAGAAAGCAGATTTACTTGGTTTAAATACTGAAGAGGAAGAAGAAGATCAAACCACTACACAAAAATAATAATAAAATAAATGTTTTTTATTAAAGCAATTTATCATTAAAAACAAATAAAGATTAATTTGGCAATGTTATACAAAATAATTAATAATGATAGTAAAATATAATAATAATTCATTATTAATATTTCATATCTAAATCCACCATCACAACGACGACCTGTTCCTCATCCTCATCCATTATACTATCATTGCCTTCCTCATCTAATATTTCTTCATCAGTTCCTTCGGAAGGACTTTTCTGATACAGAAGAACAAATCAATTTGTTACAAACAGACTTGGTTCACAATCTGTTGACCATGCTCTTTTTTAAAACAAATCAAAAAATTGTTATTTTTTTTCAATTTCAAATCAGGGTTAAAGACTGGTCTTCAATTTTTCCGGTAAAATTACTTAATATTAATATTAATATTAAAGGAAAAAGATCGCTAATTTTGCCGGTAAAAGCCGGCAGGATCCTTAACCCTGATTTCAATTATTTTTCTCTGCGAGGAAATGGAAGCCTGAGTATTAGAAGCCCATGGTGCCACTTATAACTTATCGGAAAAGATGAGTGCATGGTTATGTGGTTTTGTAAGTTTTTATAGTGAAGCATTTTTTTAAATGTTATTGATGAAAACTATTGCAATATTTACTGTTATTTGGTTTTCTAACAAAAATTAAATAGCGATTATTAAGGACTTGCGATTTGATTAGTTTGATTTTTTTCCCGAGAGTAGGTGAATTGATGATGTTCAAACACAAGATGGAATTATTTACCTTGTTTTTTTTTTATGGTCAAGGATTACGTTTTCAATAGAGTCCTATATGGCTAAATTTGAACCTGATTTTGTTGCAGTATTTTGAGTTTGGACTACCATTTTGACTTTTTACTCGGTTAACTCTTGAATAACTCTTGAATAATTAAATTTTTACTGTTTAATTAATTCAGGTTTTGTTTCTCTAACCCTTTAACTTTATTCTAAAGTTCCTGAATATGTTTTTGCTGTTCAAGGTTATTTTGTTTAAATATTTTAATTGCTGTTTTAATTGAACAATATCATTTTCTAGTTGCTGATTATTTGCTTTGCTCTTCTCGTTTGCTTTTTTTATCCTTTAACTTGATATTGCTGATCCTTGTTGGTTATTGTTGTATGATTGGTTTTTGTCCTCGTTTCTTTCCTTAATCCCTTCTTTCCCTGTTTTTGGTTCTCATCATATTCCGTTTTGTATTGATCATGTTGCGTCTTACCTTGAAGTTTAGTTTCAACTCTTGGATTTCTTTCTTTTGCACTTTGATCTGTTCTTGATAATTTTCATGGTCAATTTTTGTAATTAGGTAACAGTTATATATACACTGTTACCTACTAAATCTGTGAATTACATTTTTTCTAACATTGTTCAGTAGAAAATTTTTTATAGGTGACGCGATAGAAGTTTATGCTACGCGTAAGGATTCGAGCGTTTTAAGTATTGTCTGATTGAACGAGCATGAATTCCTCTGCACATCACAACACCAAGTGGCGCGTTTGTTCGCTTATTCATACACTGCTAACTTTAAGGGTCAGTTTTTATTACAGTAATAAAATAAGCCTTTAATCAAATATTCCACATTTCCTTGAGATCCTCCATTAATTCCTTACTGCATATTGAGAATAGCCGAATTAAGTTTATTCGCCTTTAAATATCCACATGTCTTCGTAATCAAATACAGCCTTCATATCTTGCGCAATCCTGTTTATTGATAATTATATGATCTTATAATTTTGATATTGTAAATAAAATTTGTAGTAAATCTATCTTGAGATTTTCGTTTGTTATTCTTAGATTTGTTTCTGCTATTCCTTATAGTGTATATTATTATTATCAAAGTATTGACATGGATTAAATTTCTTCCGTATAGTTGTGGGTGCTTTTATATATAATGCCACAACTTAAAATATTTTTAGAAATCATACTAATACACAATTTATAGGAATGCAATTCTTATTCTCATTGTTCTCAAAAACCTATTTTTAGATTATGGTCCTTTAAATGAATGCTTATCAAACAGCTGATCTGTTTAGTCATATTTACTCGAAATTTACTCGTAGTATGACCCATATATAACTTCATTCGTCATATGTAATTCACTAATATACATAAAACTTCATGGTTTTAAATTTAGTTTACTTTGCATACGATCTCTCCAATCAAATTCTGATTCTAATTCTAATTCCTGTTTCGGAAAAGAACTTTTTGTTAAAAGCATCACCATGTATAAATTCCTGCAATAAAAAATTATTTTAAATAAAAACAAAAATGATATCTCTCTCAAAATCAAATTTATTTATTACGATTTTATCATTATATTTTTTAACCACGACATTAAATTCTGTTGCTATTCCGGATGGTAAGGAAATCAAGTTTCGTTTTGTTAAAACCAATTGATTGAAAATAATTAATTATAATTGATCGATTTATTTTTTATGGAACGTTTTGAAGATTTTTGTGATGGTAAGAAGAACCTTTTCTTTTGCTTATTATATTACATTATAATTTTAGTATTAATTTCATTTGTTTGGTTTTCCTTTTCTTTTTCCTCTCTTTAACTTAGGATTCGAATTTACAAACCCTTCCGCCGATGTAAAAATAAGCAACAATACATCAGTAGCAGTGTCTTGGGGAAAAGGATCATCCGAAATAGCTGAAGTTTATGATGTCGAATTATTTACCGATAAAGGACTCGAGGCAATTTTATGGCAAGGTAGAGCGTCACTTCAAACTGGTAATGCTACGGAAAATGTCAACATTTGGGCACCTCCGAACTTACCCTTACCTGCTAAAGTTATGTTAAGAAGTTGGGGTGCAACTGCTAAAGGCCCCAATTGTTTCACACTAAGGTAAGAAAAAATTTGTTTTTAGGAAACTTTTAAAAGAAGATATATTAATTTTGCATTTTTTTGTTTTTTTTTTTACAGTCCAACCTTCATTTTGATTTAGAGATTGAATTATTTAAGCAATAACTCGGTTAATATTTTAAATAAAGATTTATGCGCACAAACATTTAATTTAAAACAGGAGCCAACTTCTTTACAAATATTCGTTGTGATAGACGTTACACATACCATAAAAATTTCAAAATTTTTTTTTTTTTGGTAAAAACCAAATAATAATAATGTCAAATTTATTTCTAACCAAAAATAATTTTATTTATCAATCGTTGTTGGTTAAAAACCAAAATAAATTTATAAAAACAACAAACTCTCTACGAAAATTCCGTTCGTCATCTTTAAAAACTAGCGCTTTTAATAATAATAATAATAATAATAATAAAATAAATTCCTCTCCTTCGACAATAATTATCAATTATAACACTGGTCGATTAAGTTTGATTTCATTGCACAAACCTTTATCTAATAATTACACTAATATCGGTAGTAATACTACTAACAGTGATAGTAGCAGTATTGTTTCATCAATTGAACAAGATTTTTATTCTACAAATAATCCAATAGGAATAAAAGATAAATCATTAAAACATTTATCAAGAGCATTTCTTGTATACAAGTTATGTTCTATTCAATGGCTAGTAAATAGTTCGTCAAGTATTATTCGATTTGCGGAAAATTTTCACCTTGGAGGTCCAATGTACTGGGTGATGAGAAAAACATTCTATGAACAATTTTGTGGGTATGTATATGTATATGTATATGTATATATGTATATGTATATATATATATATACACACACATACACATACACATCTATTATACATAAATATTTATATAAATAATTGACTAATTGAATTGAATTAGTGGAGAAACAACGGAAGAATGTATAAATACGATGAAGAATTTAAAATCGCATGGAATTGGATCAATTATAGGGATTTCTAATGAATCAGATATTGAAGATAGTGATACATCGGACCAATTTAATAAAAAGGCAGATATGGTTTTTGATATAACAAAGAATTGCATTGAAACTATAGCTTCCACACAAAAAAATAGTTTTGTTGCTATTAAAATTACTGGGATGTTGAATCCTAAAATACTACAAAATATCACCACATTTTTAAATTTGTTGGATGATAATTTCGATAAATTTGAGATAAACGGTAAATTGAATTATACAAATTTTCAAAATATTGTCAAGGCCATTTTTTTAATAGTCAACCACGATGACGAGAAGGAAATTTCAGTTGTTGTTCAAAAGTTATTTAAACAATTTGATTTGGATAATGATGGATTTATTGATTGGTATGATTACATGAATATTTTTTCATTGGATAATCTTGAAATAAGAAATTTATTAATCAATAATTATAATAATAATAACAACAATAACAATAATGATAAGAGTGGCGAATATTTAACGCAAAGAGATTTTGATGATTACGATAAAATGATTAAAGGATTAGATGAAATTTTTAATGTTGCAAAGTCAAAAGATGTTTGTATATTGATAGACGCCGAACAAAGTTATTTCCAAGCAGTAATTGATTCCATAGCAATGAAATTTTCCAAGATATTCAACTATTATGGCAACTTTAATAAAAATAGTGACGGTGAAAAATATTCAGGACCAGTTGTTTTCAACACTTATCAAATGTACACAAAAGATTCAAAGAAACGGCTAACACGTGATTACGGATTATCAATTAAAGAGAAATTCACATTTGCATTGAAACTTGTACGTGGTGCGTACATGGTTAGTGAACGCGAACTAGCCAAAAAACTCGGGCATCCTGATCCAATTCACAATACATTACAAGATACTCATAATTCATATAATGCAGGAGTTGAATTTTTATTAAAAGAGATTTCCAAATTTCAAATTAATAATAGTGATGGTGATAGTGGTGATGGTAATGGTTTATTGAATAAGACAAATAGCCCAATTGTATTTATGGTTGCTTCGCATAATAAAGAATCAATTGTGAATTCATTTAAACAAATGGAATTACTAAATATTTCACCAAAATCTGGAATAGTACTTTTTGGTCAAATATTAGGTAAATGATTTATATATATATATATATATACTTTTTTTTGAGCATAATAGTAATGATTTTTATATATTTGACAGGAATGCGCGATCAAATCTCATATACATTGGGAAAATATGGGTATGGCATTTATAAATTTGTTCTATACGGAAAGGTAAATAGCGTATTATATTATCGTTTGCATATGTTAGTAATTAAATGTTTATTTATTAATTAATTATTAATAATATTCATTCAGATTGACGAAGCAATTCCTTATTTAATAAGGAGAGCTCAAGAAAATTCCTCGGCTTTAGAATATGTAAAACCTGAACAAGAATATCTAAAAAAAGAGATTTTCAACAGAATATTTTCATCGTAATCATTATATAAAAATGATTTATTAACTATAATTTTTATCTTGATGGATTAACACATTTACAATTAATTACATTTACATTATATGATTGATATATATTTAAATGCGTGAAAGTAAGAATTTGTTGTAAAACATGTATTTCTATCCTATGTATACATTATAAATAATAATATATAATAATAATAAATTCTAAAAATATTTACAAATAAATATAATTATTATGATTAACAAGAATCGTCGTAACCTGGTGGCAGTATTGAATCAGTCAGAGGTACTGGTATTTCATTTGCAATACTTTGATAAGGAGGTAATCTATTTAATATTTCAATATCAAATAAATTGTCGATTGTATTATGATGAATTTCTGGTGAACCTTCAGATGGTGAATTTGAATTTGAGCTTGCAACGAATGAATGCGAAGAAAATGATGTTGACAAATTATTATTGTCGTCATTGGAAGCTGTTGATAACGAATTCATTAATGATAAATCATTGTTATTATCACTGTTATTATCACTGTTATTATGATCATCATTTATTATTGTTATATCTTCGCTACTATTATTATTATTATCACCATTACTAATATTATTACTATTATCATAAGCTGGTAAAGACATTATTTCACTACTTGGTGATACGCAAGTGATTATAACCGGCATGCTTGCTTCTAATTCTGCCGAATATTCTTTATTAGAGGCTCTAAAGGCTTGAAATGCAATAGAAAACCTTAATCTATGTTTGATTTTCAAGAAACTATCCGAATCAAATAGACAATGATCGCTTGAACTAGGAATTGGTAGACCAAAACTTTTCGTCCAAACCTCCAAACCATTTTCTTCATTTTTTAAAACACTCGCGGAATCGATGTCTTTAAACATTGCTATGGTTTTTGTTTCGGTTTTAGAATAAGCACCAATTTGATATGTGACGTGTTCTTTTAGCGCACAAGTTATGTGTTTTAATCTAAGTGATTCTTGTAATGGTGTAAATTTTATTGAAACTGGGATTTTATCTCCTAAACTAAAAATTTTTGACTCTATTGACAACTCATAATCCACTTTATCAACCCAAACATTCGATACCACCACACTTTGTATCAAATCAAGCGAAGTTGGTAATAGACATCTTTGTATTTTGACTGTTCGTCTTGTTTGTAAATTTGTTGCAAACGTGTGACGTTCGGCAATAGCCTTCAACGTATAGTTGATATAATTGTTTTTTTCACATACATCGATAGTTTCTGGTAATGTACCTGGTAAAACTAATTCAAAATCCCAATGATAATTATCTGGTTTTAATACATGATAATTTTTTTCGGCTGGCAGGAATATCCAATCATGTTGAAATAATGTTCTTCTTTCACTATGATGATATTGTGCTGGACCTTTATCTTTTTTATTAGAAAAAATAAAACAAATATTTATTATACATTCATTCATATTCATATTTTTATTTATTTAAAAAAAAAAAAAAAAATTACCATCAGTCCAAGAAATTTTAGATTTTCCTTTGAAAGTTAACCGAATTTCTCTAACTTTAATTGTTTCAGTTAAAGCTAATATCAATTGGCCACGTAGAAAACAACCAACAGATTCAGTTTGTGACCCGTGCATTGTCAATACATCCTGTTCCAGTCTTATCTGGAACAAAGGTGAAGGATTCATAGTCAACGCGTGAACCATTTTTTTTTTAATGAATTAATAAATTATTATGATAATTATTTTTTATTTTAATTTTAATTTGTGTATTTAAAGATAAATATATACATTTATTTATATTATTTTTTTTTTTTACAAAGATCAAAAATTCCCCACACACGCATATTTCCGTATATGTCATAATGAACAAAAATATTAATATTATTAATATTGTTTTTTTTTTCATCATACCACAAAAATAAAAATGAATTTAAATTCTCATTTTACAACTTAATTCTAGCCAAATTTCCAAAAACAATTTTTTTTTATTTTATTTTAGGGTGGTGTGATCAAAAAATCAATATGACTAAAATAATGGCGCCACCATTATTGAATGTTACACGCGAATTTTCTGTGGGGATTTAAGCTACTGTAACAAATATTTTGATTATAACCCTCTAACCTCGGTTTTTTTCTTAAAAAAAGGTTTCAATAACCATTATTTCCATTTTATAATGCATGGATATATTAGTTGCTGCAATTATAATCAAATGGCTTTGCACATATTAAGGATTTTGAATAATTTACGCAGATCAACATGTATATTAATATACATATTTATTTATTTTTCCCATGATTGTTTTTTTTTTTTTTTTTAATATTAATATATACTTTAATAGAAACTTATTATTGATTTTATGTTACACGATTTTATTTTGTCAAATTAGGACCACTAGTATTAGTATAAAGGACATATTAAAGCTTCAATTCCTGTGGTATGTAAACTTGAACTAAGATAATTGCTCAAAAATTTTGAAATAAACATTACATACACTATATTATAACAGGATATTTAATCATAATATTAACAATATAAACATCAACACAATGCAACAATCAAATCTAATCATTTATCAAAGATCTGATAAGTTTCAATCTATTTTATGTAACGTAATCTAATATAATACTTTCTAAATGAAATATTGTTCCCACGAAATTAATATTTTTTTTTATGAATTAGGATTTATTATTTATTTACTACTACTATTTATAAAATGTGCTCGGCCTTGCATATTTATTAGCCACACTTTATGACGTATATATTCATATAAATTCTTAAATCAGAGAACTAGATTATATATGCATAATCCCAAATTTAGGCAATTTTAAATATTAAATAAAACAAAAAAATGGGGGTTTTTTGCAAGCTTACAAATATAAAAAAAAATAAATTTTATATATATCATTCATGTGGTTTACCCACTTATTCATGAGGGTTTTTGTTTTTTGTTGATTTTTTTGCGTCCAAATGAGGAGAAGACCTTGATATATATATATTATAAATCTTATTTGTAAAGTTTTTTATTGAAATAAAAACATGATGTTACTCGCAAAAATTATTTTGGTATATGATTCAATTGTTGTGCGTGAATTCGGAGTCTAATTCACGCGCGTGAAATTCAAATTAGTCAAAATTTAATTAATAATAAATTTCAAATTGACGCAAATTTGATTTTCACGTACGGTAATTTTTAATTGAATATTTTACATAAATCATAAAAGATGGAAGATAATACTTTATAGTCACAAAACAGGATTTTTTGGTGACTCTTTCAACAGATATAAAAAAATAGTATTGAATGAAAGCTCAGAATCTACTCTTTCATTTTATGTTGGAACGTTTCTAAAGTTTATAAATATTTTTTTATATTCCAATTAAAAATAAAAAATTTCTCCATTTTTTAAATATAATAAAAAAATTGTATCGACCTGAGTTAACGTGATACTTTGTGCTTTGCAAAAAAAAAAAAATTTTTTTAATAATAATAATAATAATTGTTTGAACTTTACATACTAATATTAGTTTTTTTTTATTATGACCTAAAATCTTTTTTTCTACAATTTTAATTTTTAACAGTTATTAACATGTTTGTATGAAGATATTTCATGAAGATCCAGAAAGCCAAGAAAGCCAGTTGACATCGCATTGATAATGACCCAGAATCGGTTGAATGTACAAATCTCATTACTAAGTGTATTCCACAATTATTATTATATTCATTTATGAAATTAATTTGTTAATAGCAATATTTCTAGGTGTATATTGTGAGGTTAAAACCAGGAGTTGTTTTTTTACTCCAGGGAATATCAAGATAAGATTCGAATTAAACGAGTGTATTCGTGAACAACAAAGATTCAGAAATTCAAAATTTTGATTGGATAATAATGTTACTCATACTGTTGTGCCCCGGTTCAATTTTTTGAATAATACCGTAGTAAATCTTTACTATTACTATACTAAAAAGGAAATGTAAAAAAAAATATTTTTATTGGCCGCGAAAAGAACATATGATTTCTTGGCAAGTATATGAAATTGAAATTTTGGGGTGAGGTGCTTGGATATGAAATTCTGATTGGCTAATTTGAATTTCACGTACGTGAATTGCAAATTCACAGATTTCATTTCATTTTCACGCACAACAGCAGCGCACAAAATTTTCTGAAATGGATGAAATGTAAAATGATCGTCGGAAATAATAATAAAAATGAAAATTCTGCCGGAAAAACCGGCAAACTAGAGTACCTTTTGTTGGTATTTCCTATTACTATCTATCACCCGCGCCACAATTAATATTCCGATTACACATATGACTACATACCAAATCAGCAACGATCATCTTATTAAGAATACAAATGAATAATCCGATAGAACGAATAATTCGAATAAAGTGAATAAAACGAGTAATTCGAATAAAACGAGTAACAAATAAAACAGCGAATAGTTTGAATAAAACGAGTAATTCGAATACAATGAATAAAACGAGTAATTTGAATAAATTCGAATAAAACAAATGATAATTTGTATTAAGAATAGAAACTCTATTCTTATAAGCAAGACCCGAAATATTAATATTAATATAAAATTTTAATTAAACAGTCTTTCACTCGGTCAAAAATGACATCAATCTTTTCTTTTAAATTAATTTATATGAAATAAATAATAAAAATAAAATAATATTAATAAAAAATGAAAGAAGCTAGGTCACATGTACAAACAATATATGATGTTATGTTGTTTTGTTATTCCTAATTTGGTATGTGAATACAGACACTATACCATTGCTATAGTAATAGGTATAGATATTCCAAGAATGATTGTTTTGGGCAGCTGAATAGTAATTCCATTATGGATACAAACAAACACTAAAATGTAAATTGTATCGATCGAATTAATATTTTTCAAAAACTTTGCTAGCCCTAGCCCGACTTTTTATAGTACTAGCAATAAACTTATGTCACATTATATACAAAGTTAGGATATCCTACAGAATTTACCATGTTTAAATAAATTAAATTATTTAT